CACAGACAAGTTTGTATCCTGCGAGGCCCGCGAGGCAAGGGATCAATGACGTAATACCACAGATAGCCCGCAGCGCGCGACGATTCACGATAACATAATATAAGCGCATTCATTCTTTTGTTTCTCTCAAGTAATGGTTGGGTAGCCTATGTAACTATCGAAAACTTTGATAAATGCTTGATACTCATTATTATTATTTTTTATTATTAATTKGATTAATTTTGATAGATAATATCCACTTATCTACCTTTTATTGGTGAATATTGCCGTCAATAATCAATAACTTTCGGACAAACTTCTCTGAAACAGCATTACAGTGCGGCTACTGAAACCGGGGCAATAATCACAATTTCGATTGAAACAAGGCTTAAAAAGCTAAAAAACGATGATCAATAATAATACAAAGAGCTAAAGCTTAATAAGATAAGGCTTCCTTTGTTTAAAACCTTTGTTTTCAATCTAAATTGTGGGATTTTACATTCTCTAGGTGGCCCCGRTTTCAGTAGCCGCACTGTAAATCTCGCTGTTCCAGTACTGGCAGACCGAAAAGTGGCGTTGTGTTTGTCTCGGATTGCAGGTGACAGCTAGTGATTGACAACCGTCAATCATCCACACTGGGTCACATCAACTCCCAATGGTCATAATTAGATATTTTTTAGGAAGAAAATTAAATTTACTGCCTTGTTTTGCGATTTGCTTTTCAATGAAACATAAATCACTGGAKTCTATTCATGACAACAGGAACACACTTAATGCACACTCATATCGAGAAAGTATCGTTTTTGGGCTTCCTGTGTCGACAAAACATGTTACCTTCACATTATACATGAAGTCCTTTTTTTTAGTTTTTGGAAAGAAAAAAGTATCTATTGGRGGGCTGATGTAATGATGTAATGGAGGAAAATAGGAGGGAAATTGTTTTGGCAACCAAAAGAGGAAATTATTTATCAAAGCTGCTAAATATATCTTATGTGGTTAAATTAAGGAAGAATTCCCCTCCCACCCCTCCCCCTCCCCCCTTATCCCTCATTCCCCCAACATTTCATTGAATACATTGAAAAGTCACTAAGATACATACGATTCTTACTTATTGTTATACTA